GGGCCATTAAGCAGGGATTTGGAAAAGAGATTTTCCAATCCTGAGACAGAGGGAAATATGAGATGGAAATTCAAAACGAACCTGCCTTGATTTTGTTCACTTTAAGATGGGATTGAGGAAAAGTTGAACAGGATTCAAGATTTTGATATTCCACCTGACTACAATAAAGAGCATTCTCGGAATCTCTGCTGTGCCCATCACTTGACTTGAAAGGACCAAACCAGAGCTAATTCTGCTAGCTTCCAAACACTGACAAGGATAGTTGGGTGCTGATAGGCTGGGTAAAATCCCAAAGAAGGAACCAGAACCGAAGCAGTACCCATTAAATGCATGCTCAGAGTGAAATAATAGTGAGTGTCCTTTCTACACTTCTCTAGTGTTGCTGAACAATTCTATTTTGGCTAGTGATTAAGAGGCTATTTATCAACTGTTTTCAAGGAGCACATAACACCACTCTTCCCAGACGGGTTATCTTAAAGCTGTGATAAGGAGGCCACATTTCTATTAATGGTATATATGTACAGGCACCAGCATTTTCCTGGGAGAAGTCCCAGGAAAGTTTGGCACCAGTGGCCCCTTTCAAATCTAGAGCAGGGCATGGGAATTCAGTCACTGCAGCTTCTACAACATGCAAAAAGCACATAATGCAGTCAAATAGGCAAGTACAGGATGTTAAGCTCTTGGGAGTATTTACACCAAGCCTGTCAATCACAGAAGCTGATCTGTACACTCCTATTTCCCTCGGTGTCTGTAGAAAGTGATGAGTAGCGATAGGCAGAGAAATTATTCTGCATTTTATTACTTCTAGTGCTAATTTCAGTTTGATTAACAGCAGTCTGTGGTAGAACTTTGAGGACACAATTGGAATGAAATCTTCATTGCTGGAGTGGGATATTCTTACACTTATTTAATTGTAAAGTGGCCCAGCATTGTGTATCTCCAAATCATTCATCCTACAATTATCTTTCCTGGAGTCTGCAATCCTCTGGGCTTTCCATACTCAGTTAAATCCCAATGGAAGGCAAGGTGAGACTATTTTTACTGCTGTATTATCGCTGAGGAACTCTTAACAAATTTGCCCAATAATCTTTTGTTCTCCAGGAGAAATCCAGAAAAAGGATCCACTCAATTTCTCTGTTTGGGAATTGGGGGGAAAGTTTGAACAGGCAATTTGGGCAGGGAGAAGACTCAATAAAAACCACCGGAGGAAAATCATGAGGTTGCATCTTAGTTTCAGATTTTGGTGTTTTCAGATCAACTTCCAGAAGGCTCAGTAGTTTCAAACTTGGCTGAAGATTTCATTTCCATGTTTATATTGCAGAGCCAACTGGAGGAGGAGGAGGAGGAGGAGGAGGCATTTCTTGGGGGCAGAATGGCAAGCTAGGAAGGGTCCCTGCCTACTTCTTGAAATATGAAATTAAACTCCTTCTAGCTGGATATTTACTAGATAGGTGAAGCCAGTCTTTCCATGGAATCTATTTGATTCTAAGAACTTTAGGGTGGCATGGAATACATAACTCAAGCATATGATAAGTACTTTTTATGTTTTCTTTTTTTCCCTTCTCTTTGACAACGCATGCATCTCCATCCCTTTTACTTCCTTTGTGCTTTGCTCCTATTTTTCCTCTTTTTTGTTATTAATTAAAAGGCAATAAAAAAGCAAGTAACTGCATACACTCACTCACTCACCGTATTGAATGTAAACAACACCCTTCAAAAAAGCAGCTGCAGAATGTTTTGGGAAAAAGCGAGAGAGAAAGGGGGCAGTGAACGACTCCATAACAACTTCTGTCTTAGAGGAGAAGATAATACTTATATGACTTTATCGCCATCAAGTATGACAGCTGACCATTTTCTAGGCTTCCTTCAGGTTGCTGGATCGAACATTTCACATCTCAAAACAGCAGGCTTAATTAGCCAGTGGTATCGTAGGGAATACAATTCTATGGGGGACAAATATCACATCAATTAAAAACCAGGATCCACGAACACCAGCTGCCAGTCAAACGCCACGATCCCAAATGCTTAATCTCTACCCACGCCAACATCAAAGAACACCAGTTCAATTGGAGCAACACCAAAATCATCAGCCACGCTGCCACCCGCCACACCCGAGAGTTCGTTGAAGCCTGGCACTCCACAAGCAATTCCATCAACAGACACATCGACCTACAACCAACCTACCAACCCCTCAGAATCCAAATCAACCACACAGCCAACCAGAGACAGCACAGATCCTCAACCAACCCACGCAAGCCCTCCCCCACCAGCAGTTCACCTCCCAATGACCCTCACCTGATGTAACCTCCCCATCACAAGACCCATCACAAGCCTGTTACTGATGACTCCCACCTGACCCATCACAAGACCCTCACTTGACACACCCACACCTGAAGCCCTTACAAACAGAAGAACACTGACACCGACATTCCTTAAACTCCGCTGAAGATGTTACCTAGCCTGGTAAGGAAACGTTCGAAACCAACCCACAAGCTCGTAGAACGAATCTTCACCCTCATCCTATACCTGAGTTTCAGAGTTTTGCCACTGTTGAAAACTGAAAAGCTTTTTTCCTGAATCTACTTTACAAAAGCACCAACAAGGTTTGCCATGGGCTGAGTCTTGCAACGGACTCTTGGAAATAAATGTACGATCACATTGAGTGAATCTGAGAACAGAATGCTGTTGCATAAATTCTCATTGTCTGTCAGGTGCCCTTTCGTTCCTGTTGAACTGGGAGGTCTAAAAACAAGCATCTATTACAAAAAGATTATAAGACTGTTGTGTGTTTCCCCTGCTATGATTCTTTAACTAGTTAGCTATTAATTTCTCACACTGAATTACCAGCAAGTTGCATGGACAATCAAAGAATTCCAATTAAGTGATGGATGGGAATGTTATGGTTTCTTCCAGCACAATGTGTAAAGTTCTTAATGTGCAACGACAGAAAAAACAGAAGGTTTTTGATTCAGGGATTTTTTTTTAAAGCAAAGAGAAGAAAGCAAAACTGATAGTGACATTGAGCTGAACAGAAGGGCTTGGAGAGTTCAAAAATAGGCATCTGAATTGTCCTTCCTACCTTTCCTCCCTTCCTTTTCCCCTCTTTATTATTTTTTTTTATAAATAACTCAAGGCAGAAAACATACATAATACTCCTTCTGGCTCCTATTTTCCCTACAAGAACCCTGCCAGGGCTGAGCCCAATGTTTCACAACATTGGGCTGAGGCAGAATGACTGGCCCAAGTTCACCCAGCTGGATTTCATATCTAAGGCAGGACTAAAACTCATAGTATCTTGGCTTTTAGACTTACAACCACTTCATTAAACTGGCCCCTTCCCCTCCCCTCCCCTCCCCTCCCCTCTTTCTCATTCTAAAGACCCATCTTAACAGCTAAACAACAGGCAAGAGTAGCACAATTTTTTTCCCTATTGCGCATACTCATGTCATCTGAAGCTTGGGACCAAATTAACAAATAGATCAGTCAAAATAAAGGTAAATTCATCTTTGCCTAATCTCATCAATCGAGCATATGTGGGAGAAATGAGGGAAGAGATAACATTCCAATGTACATGTCTATGGAGATTCTCAGTCTTCCAGGTCATGGTTGTCCCAAAGGTGCTTTTTCAGGAGGCGACTGGACTTCCTTTGAAGATGTTTTCTTTGAAGATGTTTTGCTTCTCATCCAAGAAACTTCTTCAGCTCTGACTGGATGGTGGGGAATGGAAGGATTTACACTCCTTGCAGACAGCTGATCATTTGCGTTCTTTTAGAGAGTCGCTGAAGCCATTTGGAGATTTACCTGTGTCCTCAAGGCCACCTGAGTAGTGCAAATGTGTGTGGAGCCTTCTTGGCTGCAGGATGTCTTCTGCCCTGTGTCCCTTCACTGTTGAAGAACAGGCGCGGGCTGTTGGGGGTGAGTCTGCGTTGTCTGCATCTCAAACTGAAGTGCAAATGGTTCCTGTAGTCTGCAACATTTTCTGGAAATCCATTCATACTCCCGCATCATTCGAATGGTGTTCATCCCAAAGTGCACGGCTAAATGTCTATTGGGATTCCAATGTAGAAAACACATTCATATTCTTGTAAAAAGAAAAAAAAATGGCTGAGCTCCTTTGAGATGTTTCTGAGGCCAAAGCTAGATTACAGCACACAATCCAAGCAAATTGCTGAATCAAGTGCATTCTCCTGAGGTGAGAGCTCAGCATTTCAGAGAATATTGATCATTCCATCACAGCCTTTCCAAAACTCTTGTGGTTAAAAGATAGGATAGCTTGTGTTTGTTTGTCTCCCCCAGGATGAAGTTACTTAAAGTCAGAAAAGCACAATGTTGCTGCAAGAATAGCTATTCATAAACTTTTTCCTCTAACAGAAAATGTGAATGTCCAAGGTCAACTAGAACAATGAGCTCCAGACTCCTTGACAGGACAGAAATCTGTGTACACCTGGAGGGGGCAGGTATAAAAAAGAAAGGGAGAAGGGCAACAGCCAAACATTGATCTTCCCAAGAAGAATTATACAAAAATAAATGCAGGGCAGCAATGAAAGAAGGGTTACCGGATCTGGGGTTTATGACTGTTACAAGGTACAAGTGCTATATCATAGCATTATATGCCATTTTGCTGCTTTTTAGCAGTTGTCCAGAATTTTGCAGCCCAGACTGGTACCCCTTATCAGATTTAGGTGGTGGTGGAGAGGAAGAGAACAGGCTAGTCTTTGCCACCCTGAAAGACAGTTTCCTAGACTTTGTGGACAGAAGCAAGTGAACAATGCTGCTCAAATTGTATGCTTAATCATATAGGTCTGCTCCCAGCATGCCTACATAATTGCTTTTTAGTGGGTCTGAATCTTGTGTAAATAAGCACATCCAATAAATCTTAGTAATCTCCAAAGACACAGTTGGAGCTGTGGAAAAATCAAGTTTGCAATTAAAGCTAGAGGAGGGGGGAAAAAAAGAGGAGGAAACAAATATATTGATTCCAACAATGTGCCAAAACTTACCCGTTTGTTCTTAATGTCAGCTTTAATCCAGCCAAACCACTCATATGTTTTGCATTTTAGGAACTCCCAGTTCAGTTTATAGCTCTGCTGCTGAACAGAGGAGACATCAGCCCATTTGCCCTTCAACCTGTGGAGAAAGATGAGCACAAAGTGAGGGCAGGGTTTTCCAGCAGCGCATAGTTTAAGGATGATTCCTTCCATTTATGTTTTTGGATTTAGTTGTTTTTGTAAGGGAGGACAAGGACAGCTATGACAACATAATAAATACCTTGCCACATAAGCTTCCTGTTTCCTAAGTGACTATTAGCACCTCTAGAAGCATCTCTGGAAGTTCACAAGCAGGACATGAAACAGATATTTTCATCTTCAGCATTTGGTATTTGGAAATCTATCCACTCTGGACTTCAAGACTCCACGTAGCAATGATGGTGGCCAGGAGTCAAGTTCAAGCACCAGATCCACATGTATAGAGTTCAAGCTACCTACTTCATTATATTCTGCCTGTTATACAGGAATCTCCCAGACTACTTACCTTCTCTTGGGGACAGATATAGTCCTTTGGGGGAGGGGGTGTCAATCCTGAATCCCTTGCAGTTGCACAATTCAAAGCTAATCCCTTGCTTGAGTCTTCCGCCCTGCATGGTTGGGTATTTCCCAACAGTACTCACTGAATGTGTCTGCTAATTTCTTCAAAGCCAGTTTAATGATTATCACCCTTGAGGCAAACACCAAAGTCCTTTAGTTAAGAATGGTATCCTGCTGACAGATTCTTCTACTTGGTACCACTGCAGGCATAAATGACAAATCCGTAACGCCCATGATTCTATTCTACTTGTAAAATTCTTCCTAGTTGTTCTCCCCCTCTTTTATCTTTTTTTCTTCTTCTTGTAGGGAATTTTTTCTACCTCTCAATCAGAAGTTATCAATGCAGTAGGAGAACCAGATATATACAGGGCTTACTGAAGAAATTTATCACCAGCTCTGATCCAAAATTCACAGAGAAGAACTTAATGGGTTATTAGAAGGTCTAATCCGTCATTGCTTAATGACAGGCCTAATGTCTAAATCCATAAAGTTCTGGCTGAAAACTACAGTCTCCCTTTCTCATTCACAATTTAAGAAAAATATGGATAACGACAATAATTTTTGCATAGAAATCTACATCTTTAACTCCAAATAAATGGTAGTTGTTTTAACAGGCAAAAGGTTACAACACTTGTTTTCTACAGCTGAGTCTCAATAGCATGGAAACCACTTCATGATCTTGGTTCTTTCATGAACTGGAAGACCTTTGATGATTTCAACCTCTACTGTAACTCGAGACCACCAATAGCTTTGAAGTCCAAAACAAGCACCAAGATATTCCAAGCACTACCCTTCTCAAAAGACAAATCAAGGAAACTTTTCCCTGCCTGCACCAACACAATATAAGTTTTGGTGTGACACACATCAGTTACGTTCCAAAGCTACTGACTCTCACTGGAAAGATGCATTTAACTGCTTCCAAATACTTCCAGGAAATTGATTTATGGATATCACGGTTTTACCCCAGGTATCCTAGGTTGTAGACAAACAATTGATGGATTGATCTATCTGCAAAGGTTTATATAGCACTCAGTCCATACAACTATGGATGGCTCACAAGGTAAAATATGCAACTCAATGCCAGCAGATTAAAAAGATTGCAGCCACAAATCAACCATCAATCAGACAACTAAAATCAATCTCCAAACATTCAGAGAAATAAGACTGTTTAACAACTCTAAGGAGAGCCAGTAAGGAGACTACATGACGCATCTCTGGAGATAAATTGTTTCACAACATCTTATCAAGGAGAAGACTTGCCTTTAGGTCCATGCCCCTTTGATCTTTTTTAATGGCAATCCTAAGCAACCTCATTTCTTCTGTTGCCCTGAAATCAAGCTATATAGAACTTTGTGGGTAATAATCAGCACTGGGCCTGGAAACTTATTAGTGGCCAATGAATTAAGCAGATAATTGGCATTAAATAATACTGGCAACTCTCATCTCCAAATATCCTGGTTGCCTCACATTGCACCAGCTGAACTTTACAGGTTGTCTTCAAAGGCAGCCTCGTACCGAGTATGCTACAGTACTGCAGGTTTATTGGCAATGAGAGCATAAGTGATAATAATAATAATAATAATAATAATAATAATAATAATAATAATAATAATAATAATAATAATAATAATAATAATGGCTTCATGATCCAGGTAGGGCTTCAACCAGACAAATATGGGTAAAGGCCCCATTGGGCCTGGCATCCACCTTCCGCTCCACCTAGAGCTGTGAGCCCAGAAGAAACCTTAGGCTGTAGACAAGGTGAGAAAAATCATCAATGGAGTATGAGGAACCACCACTGATGTTCGGGAATAAATAATAATTCTGTTTTTCTGGGATTCAACCTATGGGCTTATTTTGTCCAGCCAGACCCACAACCCTCCTCTCACTGAGGAAGAATTCTCACATTTTTTATGTGCTGCTCAGAGTCTCATTTGGTAAGATGGATGGCTATATAAATTTGATTATTAAACAAATACTTCTGATTTGGCCAAGGATAGCAATGTGCAACTGAGTATCATCCACACAATGATATCTTACCCCAAACTTCTTGGTGTTTTCATATACATGTTAAACAGAAATGAAGTGAGAGCCGAGTTCTGAGGGAGTCCACGTTAGACTAATTTTTGGGCTTGACTACTCATCTCTCCTTAATAATGACTGAAACCTCCACAGCAACTGGAACAGAACAAAACAGTGTTCCTGTTTCCCAACCCAAATAGGCAATTCAATAAGATACCATGGTCAGTACGGTAGTATTAAGATAGTAAGTAGTCTGATAAGACAAAGAGAAGCACCCTCAGGTTACCCATCAGGACAACCAATGCTGTTTTTGTCTCGTGCCTGAGTCTGAGTCCAGAATGGAAAGGATTCAGATAATTGGCTTCATGTAGGAGCCAATTACTTTCTTCAGCACTTTCCTCAGAAAGGGAAGGTTAAATACCTGGCATAAGTTAGCCTGATCAAGAGAGGGTTTCTTCAAGAGACAGCCTATCACCATTTCTTCCAAGGCTGAAGTACTATGCCTTCTCTCAAAGAAGCATACACCATCTCTTGACTCTAGCTACTCATACTCAGCCAAAGAAGCCGTGAAGAATATAGATCTAGCCACATGTGGTGGAGATCTTATTAGAGAGGGTTCTGTGCTGTTACTCAGTCTCCACAAGGTTGAATGACGGTGTCACAAGATGTTATCCCAGATCACATTTTAGACTCCATCCAAAAGGTATCTGAGGGATACGAGTCATTTTATTTGCAAAGAATCTAGCAAACATGTCACAGAGACAAGCAGACGCATTGTCCTTGACCATTCCTTCCTGAATGGAACAAGTCATCCTGACCACTGGACTTATTTATCCCTTTAATTTTCCTGTAAGGTGCATAGTTACTATCTTTCCAAAACCCCAACTTTCCCTTTCTGAAACATTCTTGCTGAATGTTATTTTTGTAAACAAAATTGGGCTCGCTGTCAGATGAAGTGCAGTTGTATTTTTAATACAAGATAACCCTTCGCTCTCCCATGATCAAACAATGTTGTGGGTTGGGGTCTTCCAACTGGTCGAATTCTCAATATATCCCACTTGTTTCTATGGATGGTAAGTTTCTGTTTCAAGGTCAAATGCCACTAAACAAAGCAAAAATAAACAGCCTAGATCTACTGCTAATTAACCTGGATCAATTTTCCCTCCTGTTCTATTTATGTGGATTGCTCTATAAGAGGAAGGAACTGCAAGGAAGGCACTGCTCTACAGGGGAATGAACTACAAAACATAATTGTTTAGATCAATGTTAGATGTACTCCATAGTAAAATCAAGAGGACTGTAATATACAAGCCTTGGCCTGAAAGAAAACAAAATCCAAACAAACATCAATTTTATGATATTTGGTTCCCCAGGTATACATTTTCATGAGGAACAGTTGGGTTTTCTCTCAAAGAATTGAAAAGCCATTTTTTCTGCTCTATCGGGCTCTTGATCTCTCTTCAGAAACAAATAATCCTTAAAAGCGAGAGCTTGCAAAACAGTTCTAAATGAACCAAAATTCTAAAAGTGCAGCTGGCGAGCTTAAAAGCTTTTTGTTCAAGCAATGCACTGCCTGCAATAATTACCATCCAGAGGCACATGGTGCTTTTCCATCAACTCTAGGACATGAGCTACAAGAGCTGTGAAATCCCATTTGAGCTGATCCTTTGCATTAGCCACGCCAGTTGTTAGATGTATCATTTGGAAAGCAACTTGAGGCAACCCAGCTGCAACCAGCAGTTTCCAAAGTCATCTTTCCATTGAAATGCAAAAACGGGGCAGGAAATCCCAAAACATCAAAGAGTTTGTGACTTTGTTAAATCACACACAATTCTGCTGCTGTTGTTGTTTTTTCTGAAAATATTTTCCGTGTACATAAACTGGAATTTCTCTCAGAATATAAATTAATCTAGGAATAATATTCATTTTGAGTGTGTTCACCTATTCCCCAAGAGTGAGGTTTAATGATTCCCATCTATGAATATCTGAAGAAACCTCTCTATATATTTTCTTTATATTACACCTTGCTAACTGAGTTGTATCTTTGGTACACAGATACCTAAATATTTAAAGGATTCGGTACAAATACAGAATTGATATTCCTTAAATCAGGGGTTGCCGATCTGGGAGTGCGAGACGATATTCCAGGGGGTACAAAAACTTGGCTTTCCAAAATTATAGTGTATATGCATAATTCGTTGCCATTATTTCGAACTTTTGTAAGGGGTGCGAGAATATATCAGACGCGTTCTAGGGGGGCAGGGTATAGAAAAGGTTGGGAACCGCTGCCTTAAATGGATGGGTAAAAGCCAATGTTCGCCTATCGGCATCAATTTCAATTTGGGTCAGCTAACAGAATAGATGCCAAAGGCACCTGTCTTTTGGATTAACACTAGGATAATA